GAAAGGAAAACCTAGAGAATGTAACTTCTGAAGGAGGGTAAAAGTTAAAATGGGAAAAATTCATTCCAAGGGGAAAATGAAAAAGGAAGAAGGAAAAAACAGCAAAATATGTAATGTAAATAATGTGGTAAAGATCCAGTTAATTATGTAAATTATTATAATCAATAGAAATAGATTGCTATTTCTTCTAAAGCATCAAATATAGATATAAAATTATTTAGTATATTTTGTTTTTAGCAGTCCCAATTTGGAGAAAGACTGACAGCAAAGAGATGGGGAAAATGGAAAGAAATTAATCAAAATAAAGTTGGTATAATATCAGACATAATAGACTAGAAATGGATTACTACATGGATTACTAGAAATTGAGAGATTACCTGCAGAATGATAAAAGGTTCATTTGGGCAAGGAGCTAATTCTAAGATTGTGTGCAATTAATTTTAAAAACCCTCGAGATATATAAAGAAAATATAGGCAAAATACAAGGAGAAATAGACATAGTCCTTCTGTAATTGACCTAAAAATAGAGCACAGACACCCTCCCGTGACACGAATGCACCTGACGTTGTCCTGCAAAGGAACTGCAAAGCAAGCCTCTCTATGAAGAGTGAGCCAAGTGAGATGGTCTCCAGGCCATTTCTGCCACCCATTCCAGTGCCTGGAGATGGTGGCAAAGACTTAGTATTTGGAATAAAAAGAAAAATCCCACAAATCAGTATGCAAGAGACCCAACCCAATGGAAATGAACTACAAACGTAAGTTCAGTAAAGGAAATATAAATGATGCATAAATATATGAAAGATATTCAACTCTGTGAAAAATTAGAGAAGCAAAGAAGTAAAACCTAACAATGTTCCAGTTCATACTCATCAGACTGGCAGATTTTAGGAAGTCATCAGTTGTAGGCAGGGAGACAGAAGATCAGAAATGTCTACCATGCAAGTTGGCCTAATTTCTTTGCAAATTTGGCATTATTTATAATTGGGCATCTGTACATTCTCTTTTCAAAGAATCCTAATTCTAGATGTACACTCTAGAAAAGTTCTTATGAAAGAACACCATGACACATATACAAGAAAGAAACTTTGCAGTAGCAATCAAACAAAGCATCCAAATGGTGATCAAATCAATTGTGGCACTGGTCATCTAATACAAAGTTGTGGTGTACAACTTTGCAAATCAATAAGCTAGAGCTGCACCCAACACTATGCATAAATCATAAAAACTTGGTGTTAAATCAGTGTTTTCAGCATTGTTGAGTCTTGGGATTATCTGGGGAGTTTAAGAACAGTCTCTGCTTGGTGAAATGGAACAGGACTTGATCTCTAATTTTCTCAAGTTCCCCAAGAGATTCTGATACACACAGTTTGAGGACCACTATGTTAAGACACAATTGTAGTAGGAATGCATCGAGCTTAGCATACACAAAACATGCAAGACTAAGCAATATGCTATTTGTGTTACATGCATAAATCATAGCATGACAGATCACTTCTGGTGAGTAGGGAGTAAACATTGGACAGGGAGACTTCCAACCTAGATGTGGGTAGCATTTTATTTCTTAGTTTGATAAAAGGCGCATCAAAATCACTTTATTCTTCATATCTAATGTTTGTAACATTTGTGCATGAGATATATTTCACAATATGAACTTAAAAAGTAACGAAGTAAGAAAGGTTCCTAAGTTGGAGCTTGCACACTCCAGTGACATGTGGTCTGAGGTATTTGTTTTTTCCTTCTGTCCATCAAGAGCACTACCTGGAAGAAATGTTCAATTGGGACAAAGGGAAAGTTCATTCTTCAAACAGATGTTTAAATTGTCTGCTTATTATTACAGTTGTCTGTTCCCATAGGAAGGTCCAGACACTGGGGTCTCTCATGGGTGGTCTGGAGGCTGACCTGGAGTAAATCTGCCAAGTGGTTTCTGACAGCAGAGTGCAGGGAGTGAGCACCTGCCTGTACACACATCTTTGTGCTATTGAAGAGACCCAGGAGGGCCAACAGGACAGGAGCAGGGCCTGGCATGCCACTGCTAAAACTGATTATCCAGGTTCAGAATTAGGGCAAGGAGAAGAGGGGTCCCTTTTTGTTACCCCCAAGGATTTGGGAAAGTTGCTTCTGTGAACTCTTAGACACCGATGGCAGATGCCGCTGCATTGGACACAAGGATCGTGCCAGGAGTGTGGGTAGGTGGGTGGGAGTGCATCGGCAGGCAGTGTACGTGCTCTGACCCAGAGTGGCCGGATGAGTCCCAGGCCAGGAAGACAGGAAGGTCTACAAGGTTGCAGCAGAGCCTCCCTGTGAGGAGGGCATATGGCAGCTAATGGGCTGGCAGAGGGCTGTGCCAAGTCCTCACGGAGTCCTGGGCAGACAGAATGGAAAAGGAGCAGTCTGCAGACGGGGGCCGCTGGGGGCAGGCCCCGAGTGCCCTCAGTGCTGTGGCTGCCCTTGGCTCACTCAGCCGCTCCCCGCAGGTGTTGCTGCAGGCTGCCAGGGAAGGGGATGGTCATGCTTAGAGAAAGGGACTGTGCGACACTTGTAGATCAGCTCTCTAATGGATTTCCTGGGAATCGGATTCCCAGGTATTTGGAGGTACACTGGGGAGGGCTCAGTGCTGCTGACACTCCTTCCAGGAAATTGAAGTGGGGGAGACCTAATAGAGGGACTTCTAGGACAATGACCTTGAACAGTGCCTCTGAAAGCAAGAGAACTTGAGGACGACAGGATGCCGCCGGAGCACACCCTTTCCTTTCCTTTCCGGCTCTCAGTCATCCGCTTTTGCATAATCCCAAAGAATCACAACCTCATGCTTTTTCTAGACAAAGTTTCCTCTTCCAATCCTTTGTCTTCCTTCTGCAAGGTAAAGCTAATCAGGTGGCTCATTGGGCTTTCCTGTACTCCTGCTCCCTCTTAGGTTAAGGTGTGATTGCTCTCATCCTACGTCCTGTGCTCCAAGTAGGACCTTGGTCACCAACCGGTGCCCACTGCAGTCTGGACCCATCCCAGCTGATGGTCCTGAGACGTGAACATTTTCCAGTTTCTTCGATTGCCCATGGGTTGCAATCCTGCAAGATCATCTGCATTAAACAGAACACTTTGAAGTGCAAACTTTCATGATGCCTACATCCAGAGTGTAATTGCACTTTAATTCTTTAGCGATCCCTGCAGTTCAGTGCACCTGGGAACTATTGATCATGCTAAAAGGACACGGTTCTTGGATTTTTACGGTCTCCCAGTTGCATCTATGGTTTTGACTGACCAGGCTTCACACACACATATCCGCTTCTGAAATACATTGTTTCCCTTCCTACCTCTGAAAGTGTTGTGTTCTTTAAATGATTTCAAAACCTTAATTTCTAACCTCATTAGCTCCATTTACACCATCATAAGGTCTCAAAGCTAGAATGGGTCATCTACAAGGAGAAAGATTTGAGACCTATTTTAAGACATAGTGATTTAGAGTTAAAATCTTGACTTGCAACCAACCACCGACTCAATCACTTGTAAGAGACAGTGAGCCTGAGCTTTCCTTAGCCTGATTAGCCCTCTCTCCCACTGCTGGAACTCTTGGCTTATGATTCGTCTCCATTTTTCATAGTGCCTATGTTGCACCAGCTCTCCTTCCTGCTCTTACCTCCTCCACTTTTGTTCCTTTCTAATCCTCTATCCAACAGCCAGAAGTTAAATGTAGATCTGATTGCAGCTCATTTGTGTCTGAAACCTTTCAAGAGCTTCTGATCACCCTCAGAGTGGGTCTTTAACTGACCCCCTGAAGCCTCATGTGCCCTCACACAGCTCCAGCCTCCTCTCTGACAGCTACTGCTTCCACATCCTCTCCAGAGGGCCAGCGACCCTGCCCTTGCCCTGGGTGGCTTCTGTACCCCTGTCTCCTGTGGCTGCACCCACTCCTCCACTGCAGTGCCCTCCCTATATACACGTGTCCATGCAGTTTGCTGCCAAGTTCATCCCCAGCCTCTGGTGCAGTGTAGGTGATGATTCCTGGAAGGAGCTCCCTGTGCTAGTCCTGTGCTTGAGGCTGCTCATTGGAAATGGGATAATAACAGGATCTGCCTAATAGAATCCCCGAGGTGGTTGTGAGCACTAATGAGATATTGTGTTTTCCCTGTTAGCTCCTGCACCAGGTTCCTCTCCTACAATATCTCATACCCTGGGACACTCGGCATACTAGGGGACTTCAAAATGTTCACAGAAAATAGACTTAGAGGACACATTTATTTTGGTGCAGAAATTGTGGAATCTGTGTGTGTGTGTGTGGGGGGGTTCTTCCAAAAGTTCATACAAATGCATTTTATGAAAAAAAAACTATGCATGGATTTCAGAATTTTTTCTCCCTAAACAAACATATCCATTAATCTCCCTTTTCTACAAACGTTTGAAACCGCCTCCTATGTCATCCCACAAAGACCAGGAAACCCGCAGGATGGGATTAGCACCAACTCCCGCCCAGCTTTATCCCTGGTGCTCAGAACAGAACAAGTGTCACAGGTGATGTGGGCCAGAGCCTGTGGAATAGAGGCCGAGTGCATGAACAGATATGTTTTCAGAATTTGAACGCAAATACTTGTATAACGTGAATGTCATTAGTAAAGAATTCCAGGAAACTCACTGCATTTTGAGCAGCTGTGTTGGTAAATCCCGGCTTTCCCTGCATGCATAAGATCGATGACTCCCAGTGAGAAATTTCTCCTCGGTGTGGGCTGATGCCTGCCGTGCCGTTTGGCAGCGTGGGTTTCTAAAAGCTTGACCCCGTGGAAACCTTGCTCATCTCTTGCTGGCCTTTAGGGAAAATGTTGAACCATCTCGTTGTATCTCAGTATTATCTGTGAACAAGCAACTAATGAGCTGTGTGGCCCGGGCCCAGTCCTTTCACCTCCCTGGCCTGAGCTCTTGAGGATGTGTTAGCCTCCATGCTTCCTGGTAGACCTTCTGCAGGAACCGTGTGTGGGTTGCTGGTAAGCACGATCTGCTTTTCTTCCCAGGAAATCAGCGACCCCGAGATCCTGGATCTGGTCCACAGTGCCCTCGGCAGGATGACCGTGGTCCGGCAGATCTTCCCGTCCGCGAAGGACAACCAGAAGTGTATGAGGAACAATCACCGCATCTCCTCCCTGCTCTGCGACCCCCAAGAAGGCTACCTGCAGATGCTTCAGGTCAGTGTTCAGCCTCCAGGACCATGGACAGCCACAGAGGGGGACAAACTCTGAGCCGCACCCTTGGGTACCTGCAGAGTGCTGTTGCCCACCTACTTTGATTCCTACAACTGTGTCCCTTGCTGAAGAGGAAACCAGTTGCCCAGGCAGTGCCTCTGAGTGGCACTGACAGGCAGTTTTGCCTGTTGCCAGCAGGCAGGCCGTGTTAAGTCCCCAGGTGCCTGTGGTAGTTAACAGTGACGTGCTACTGCACAAGGAGATTTCAGTCTTAGGCTGCAGGTTTGTGGGGATGGCTTCATCTGGCTGGCCTGGGGCTGGAGTCTCCCTTTAGGAAGACATCATTTTAAGCCTGTTGAAGGCCTTTTTGGGTAAGAAGCCACTGGCACAGACACGGCTCTTGCAAAACATCTCAGAACTTCTCCAGCACTTTGGTTGCACATTGTATCCCCAGCTGAGTAAGGAGGGGCAAGGGTGCAGGGCCGTGACCCGCTCACTTTCCCTTCCCTTCCAAGGTGAGAGGCACAAAGTCATCCCTTCAGCCACGCCATGGTGTATTGCACTTTGCGTTAGGTGGTTGTGGGACCTTAGAATAGAATGAGGAGCTCCGTACCTTTCCTACGGCATGGTTTTCTCTCCAGATGCTTGTGGGCGACAAGGAGACAGGACAGAGAGTGCCCCCACCCCACCCAGCCCCCAGGCTGCCATAATGCACTTTGCCATTTGCTGTTGTGCACAAGAAAACTGTGGCTGATGCCCTGTGAGAGCCACAAGACAGGAGGTCTCTTCTCCCACTGGGGGTTGTGGAAATTGCCTGGAAGTCTGTGTGCCATCAGCTCGCCTCTCAGCACTGGAAGCCAGTCTTGCCTTCTTTACCCAGACAGGCACGAGCAGTGGGAAGCAGAGTTTCAGGATGGAGGCGACTGTGTCCACTGCTTGAGGGCTGGCCTCACCCAGAGACAACTGGACGTGGCTCTGTCAAGGGCTGTGTGTTGGAGAGGGGCTCTGCTGGAGTCTCAAGTGGGCCATGGACCTGCGTTGTGTGCCAAAGCCCAAAGCACTGAATCTGTTCTAGGCTCTTGTATTTGGGGGTAGAAGAGGAAATAATCCACAGAGTGAACATGAGATGTGTCATCTTTGTGGTTGGGAAACAGAAGACACGAATTCAGCTGGAGTGACCCCATTCTCCAAGTGCCCAAGGAGCTCATTAGATGTCTGGGGATTTTTTAAAGGTGTGTTTTATTTATTTAAATTGTATATTTTATTTATTTTAAAGTGTATTTTATTTATTTATTTGAGTTACAGAGATATAGCTTCCATCTGCTGGTTCACTCCCCAAATGGCCACAGTGGCCAAGGGCTGGGCCAGACCAAAGCCAGGAGCCAGGAGCTTCTTCCAGGTCTCGCACATGGTGCCAGAGGCCCAAGGACTTGGGCCATCTTCCACTGCTTTTACAGGTGCATTAGCAGGAACCTGGATCAGAAGTGGAGTGGTGTGGACGTGATCCAGTACCCATATGGGATGCCTACACTATAGGCAGCAGCTTTACCCACTACACCACAGTGCCAGCCCCTGGGGTTTTTTCTAATGTGGTGGGGGTTGACCAAGAGAGTAGTGTGAAAGCCTTTGTAGACCATGGACTTGAGAGCCCCGGGTAATTGGGTTAGAGTAGAGATCTCTCTCAAAGATTTATTTATTTATTTGAAAGGGGCAGGGGAGAGAGAGAGAGATCTTCCACCTGCTGGTTCATTTCCCACAGGGCCTCAATGGCCAGGGCTAGGCTAGGCCAAAGCCAGGAGGTTGGCACTCCCTCTGGGCCTCCCACATTGGGTGGTAGGGGTTCAAGTACTTTGTTCATCTTCTGCTGCTTTCCCAGGTGCATTAGCAGTTGGAGCTCGAACTGGAACTCCAATATGGGATGCCAGTGTTGCAAATGGCAGCTTAACCCACAGCACCACAATACAGCCCCATCAGAGTGAAAAGCTCTTCATGTGGTTTTACATTTATGGATGCTGCTGGCCTGTTCTGTCATCCTCCTTTCAGGTGTCTGGAAGAAGCAGTAAGGGCTACATAAACCTCTCTGTAGGTGTCACACTCACTCTCCACGTGGACTGAAGTAGAGTTAGATAGCAGGGTCCAGTGGCCTGTGCCTGATCCCATCCAGCACAGGACAAGGGCAATCTATTCACAGGTTCAGACAGAGAGAGGTGTCCCCCTGTGGGGCTTGCACGCCCTAGGAGGGCTCCCCGGCTCTCCCACCTTGAAGGGCTCCAGTCCTGTGCACAAACGTGTCCTCCTTGCCTCTGCCCAGCCTCACATCTCCAGTTCATTTCTCCCACCCCTGCTTTGTCACACTGCACTCCGTCTACTTAACAAAGAATGGGATGCTTTCCACTGCCCAAAATGGGGTTGCACCTGCTCGGGTTGGGGAAAGAGCAGGTGCTTCTCGTCCAGGTCTGTGGCTGAGACTGTGCTGTGGACTAAAGGACCCGGGTGGGATTTTTGATGGCACATCCAACCTGCAGGATGCAAAGAGGCTGCCTGTTGGAGGCTGAGACAGGATGGCAGAGTGAGGGAGTCTGGCTGAGGACATCCACCCACCGGTTACTTAAGAGGATAAACAAAGGCACGGTTGAGCGGTACAGCTAGATACCACCAAATAAGGCAAACACAACATTGGACCTAGCAACCCTGGGACACACCCTACCTCTGTCTGTTCCTGCTGGGACCCAGGCCCTACCTGAGGAGCAAGGTTTAAGAGCAACACTGTAGAGATCTTGCAGAGATAGCATAGGCAACAGCAGCAGAGCAGGTGCCAGCTCACCTGGGTTCAGATCCCAGGAACTCTAGTTACTAACCAGTTCTTGAATTATTACTGGTACTTATTTGCCATTTGGTGCCCCAGTTTCCTCCGCTGTGAGTTGGGGATTAGAATATTTCCAACCCTCTAGAGTCCTAATGATAATTAACTGGGAGACTATAAGAAAAGACTCAGAACAGGGCTGGGCTATTAACAGCCTCACATCACTGTCACTGAGAGGGTAGGAGGTGGTGTTCAGGGTTTCCACAAAAAGGCTCAACCTTTTCATGGCCTCTGTTTCTCTTTCTGGTATGATATGGTCGATCTCTCTTCCTAAATGTAGTTTTTTCAAAATTATTTATTTAATTTGTCCCCTGCACCCACATGGGACACATAAATGAAGCTCCTAATCCTGGCTTCACTGTGGCCATTTGGGGAGTGAACCAGTGGATGGAAGTTCTCTCTCTCACCATGTTTCCACCCCTGTAACTCTAAATAAACCTTTAAACAACAACAACAAAAAAGAATGCAGGTCTTGGGGCCAGCACTGAGGTACAGCATGTTAAGTGACCACCTGCAACGCTGGCATCCCCTGTGAGCACTCGTTTGAGTCTCAGCTGCTCCACTTCCAACTCAGCTCCTTGCTAACATCCTTGGGAAGGCAGTTGATGATGGCCCAAGTACATGGGCTCCTGCCATTCACCTTGGATGCCCAGATGGAATTCCAGGCTCCTGCCTTTAGCTTTGCCCATTTAGGGAGTGAACCAGCAGATGGACAATCTCTATTTCTCTCTCTCTCTCTCTCTCTCTCTCTCTCTCTCTCAATCTTTAACCCTACCTTTCAAATCAATAAATAAAACGTAAGGAAAAAAATAAAATAATTCTTGGCCAAATTAACAGTCCCTAGGAGCCTCTTTATATGTAAGCCAAACACTTTTTAAAAGAAATTTCTCTCCATTTGTTGCATTGTCTTCAGTGTAGGGAGTGCACTGGGAAAGAAATGTGGATTTATTTACTCATCCTGCCCAGCAGTGACTTGGGCAGCTTGTAGATTCGTCTCATTTACAAGCCATTCCCTTCAAGTCTCCTCTGGAAACTATTACAACTTCTTTCTTTCTTAATGACAGTGTAGAATGCAAACTAATTTCTACTAGCCTCTAGCTGTGAGATTTATCGAGAAGATTCTAACATGTTTAGAACAACCAACTCAAGGAAAAAAAAACATTTGTGTCATGGATTATTAACTTTGTCTTGATGAAATTAATGAAAATCCTGTTGGAAATGGAGCTCTCTAGTCCATCTTCAGCTCCTCTCCCGGATGGCTGCTCCTGGGATGATACTTCTCTGTGAGGACCATCAAGAACAGGGCACTTTTGGGAGCGCATTCGTCTCTTGCCTTGCTGCTGAGTTGACCTTGGAGACTCCATCTTCCCCTATTAGGCCTGTGGTCAGGGCTTGCTGTGTTCTGTAGCCAACCAAGCGCTATTACAGCAAATCAATTTGGTCCCTGTTTAGCCGAGAGAAAGATACCTAAATAAGTAGCTTCTAGTAGCTCCCGAAGTCTGGCATTTGCCAACACGCAGTGCTGCTGTTTATTTTTCCCTACCCAGCACTGTCTGATCTGGGCATTTCTCATTCTTGAATTTTTTTGACAAGTCCGTTTAGGGCTTGTCTGACTCAGTGAGTCATAAAAGTGATAACTGATCCCTGAGAACCCTGTGACTTTGCTATGATTTCACAGGCAGGGGCAGCTGCACTTGGAGAATCTGTTACTACTGTGTCTCTGGAACATGGCATTGCCCAGTGAGTTCCTCAGGGCTCCTGCTTGCACCGCCACCCCACCAGCATTCAGATGTTCTCTCCCCGGGGGGATAACAGGCCAATGATGTAAGCCCTGTTGTCTGGTCACTGTGGAGCCCGATGATGCCTGGGTTAGGCTGTGTGGGTTAACGTGCTCCCTGAGCATTTCACAGTTGTTGAATGGCTTGGCTGAATCACGCCTCCCTCAGGCTCACTCCATTAAAGCAGGCCCCATCTTCCCTGCCCTACACATCACGATTTCTTCCAGGCTTTCTGTATTCTTCCCAGACTGCAAGGTTTATGTCAACCTGTCAGCAGTTGCCTTCCTGCTGCAGCTTCCTCGCTCACACAGAGCTACCTTGGAGTTCATGTCACTCTCAATAGTTTCCTTAACCCCTAAGAC